AAGCGATCGAGTGGATTCGCTCTCAGGAGTCGATTTCCATCAGGAGATGATAGCGACTGATAAGATCCAGGTCATCTGCGGAGATGAATCTCGGAAGTAGATGCAGTATGCGCGGAGCGATTCTGGAAAAGGAGATATTTTGAAACGTACTGAGACCAATAGTCTAATCCTCTGAGAATATCCAGGCCAGATCATGTTACATCCTGAAGATCAAAATCGACGAAAAGAAATCACCAGTGTCCGAGGCTGTTGATACTGGATAGTATCTGCTGACTAACGCACTTCGACCAGGGATCACCTTAGCGCGGAAGGAAGCACCTCAAGCGGGCCCAGAGGTCTGGACAGATCCACTTCGATCAAAGCTCTTGGCCAATCATAGTACAGTTTCAGAGCTTGACCTCTTCAGGGAAAAAAGTTCCAGCCTCGCGCCTGTGGACTGGACGACTGCGCCTCTGCCTCACGCGGCAATCTTCAACTCCATCGCCAATTGCCTTCTCTAGCCTGGGTTGACCATCATTTACGATTAGCCTTATCACGCCACGTGCAATCGCAATCATGAACGGCGACGGCTATTCTCGTGGTAAGTCTGCACGATGTCTAACAGACCTGTCTGTACCGGTGCCTCTGTGTCTAACAAACGCCTTTTGGGGGAAAAGGTCGAGGAAAGGGATCTCGCGACTATCCGGTAAGTGCCCATCAGTCATGATGAAGTACCTGCACCCAAAGCTGACGCTTGATACAGAGAGAGCGCGATGATAGACGCGGTGGCGATAGAGACAGACACCGAGACCGAAGACGTTCCCGTTCCCCCTACGACCGAAGCTCCAGACGTCGCGAGGATGAGGACAGTTACGCGACAAGTCGCAGCCATCGTGAGCGTGAGCGTGAGGATAGATACTCTGGGCGCGAGAGGCGCGGTGGAGATCGAGAGTGGGATCGCGACCGCGGATCCTCCAGACGCGATGCCAGAAGAGACGACGACGATCGCCCGCGGAGAGATCGCGACCCGTACGACGACCGACGCCGAGGCGGACGAGACAGAAATGAGGATGCCGGATTTGGCCGCCGTGAACAACAACAGCAACGCCAACGCAGCGCGACGCCACCTCCCAAGAAGAGAGAGCCTACACCTGATCTGACAAACATCACATCAGTATTGGAGCGCAAGCGACGTTTGACTCAGTGGGATATCAAACCCCCCGGCTATGAGAATGTCACTGCTGAACAAGCCAAGCTGTCAGGCATGTTCCCTCTGCCCGGGGCTCCTCGCCAGCAACCCATGGATCCCAGCAAGCTTCAAGCCATCATGAACCAGCCAGGTGGCCAAGTTAACAGCGCTGCGCTGAAGCCGAGCAACTCGCGCCAGGCCAAGCGTCTGCTCATCAACAACCTTCCCCCATCCACGACCGAAGAAACCCTCCAGAACTTCTTCAACTTGCAGCTGAACGGCCTTAACATCATTGAGAGCACCGACCCCTGCACCAGCTGCCAAGTTTCGAAGGACAACTCCTTCGCCGTAGTTGAGTTCAGAAACGCTTCCGAGGCCACCGTAGCCCTCGCTCTCGATGGCATTTCGATGGAGGCCGACGATGCCACGAATGGCGCCGCCGGTAGCCAAGGCCTTGTAATTCGTCGCCCGAAGGATTACATCGTTCCCGCGGTGGTTGACGACGTCCCATATGAGCCGGGTGTCGTTTCCAACACGGTGATCGATACCCCTAACAAGATTAGCGTTGTGAACATGCCTCCTTACCTGTCAGACGAGCAAGTATCGGAGCTTTTGGTGTCGTTTGGCGAGCTCAAGGCGTTTGTGCTTCTTCGTGATAGAAGCACAGAAGAGTCTCGGGTAAGCTGAGTCGCATTTGGCCATCATACGTACCATACTAACTATCCTTGCAGGGAATTGCTTTCTGCGAGTACGTTGATCCAGCAGCTACGGACGTCGCCATTCAAGGCCTCAACGGTATGGATCTTGGAGACAAGAAGCTCAAGGTTCAGAAGGCCAGTGTCGGTGTAACTCAAGTTGCTGGGGTGGAAATGGGAGTTGCAGCTATGTCTATGCTGGCTGGAACGACCTCAACTGACTCTGAGGAAACCCGTGTTCTGCAACTTCTGAACATGGTTACTCCAGAGGAGTTGATGGACCCTGACGATTATGAGGGTAGGCGTCAACATCTAGTTCTGGTCTTGTGCACACATACTGACAGTCTGCAGAAATCAAAGAGGACGTTCAGGAAGAGTGTGCAAAGTTTGGTAACGTGCTGGATATCAAGATTCCTCGTCCCGTGGGAGGCAGCAGACAATCTGCTGGTGTTGGCAAGATTTTCGTCAAGTTCGAGACCAAGGAGTCATCCAAGAAAGCGCTCCAAGCACTCGCAGGACGCAAGTTTGCGGATCGTACTGTTGTTACCACCTACTTCCCCGAGGTAAGAAGAGCCCCAGGATGGCATTGCGAGACAATTACTGACTCTGCTGCAGGAAAACTTCGAAGTCGGTGCCTGGTAACCATTTTCACATTGGGCACAAGGAACAGCGAGATAACATCACCAAAAAGGCAAGGCTCGGCGGAAAAGGGAAATTCAGGCCGATCATATTCTGACAGCCTTGTAACCATTGAAAATGCTGTATCATAATTCCGCGATGCGGGCCGCAGGCGACAGGGACGGGAGCACCCACCAAGTCGCAAAATTGCAGATGACTTGTGGCGGCTTCAAGCCGGCGCGGTGGAGGAAAATTAGGGGTGTTCTATAAAAACTTTCTGACTGAAAACCATGGTTAAAGGCGTTGATTATACCTGCGTAGTTGTATTTGCATCAATGGAACACTTCTATATGTTTGGTAGGTGTCGAAGTTCAGAGGTTGTGTTATTTTCGACTCCAAAACGTCTAGGCCTACAACCATCTTCAGTCACTTCGAGTCACAGGAGTTGGAACCATTCTTTTGCTCATGTTTTGATTTGCTATCTATCCAGGGGTTACGCGTCATCAAGGTTGACTCTGTGTGTATGATTTTCTGCTGCGCTTCACTTGAGGCGTAAATGAAGACCAGAATCTGTTCCAAGTGTAGACCTTTACAGCTTGTTAGCTTTCCGTTCAGAATTCGGATGATTGAAATTGAGAGAGAAAAGGTGCAGTATCAGAAGTCCTGTTCATTCATTAAGCCCGAAGACTTTAAAATAAGAGGTACCAGAAAAAAGTAATAATGGAGGATCATCATTTGATGCATAGGGGATAAACGAGGAGCATACGTGAGCGATTCTTACCTGGGGGGAAGGATGTAGAGAGGCACCGCGAAGCAGCACTCAGCGGCGATGTATCTGATCTGTCCGTCTCTCAAAGAGTTGAGGTTGAGGGAGCAAGAAGAAAAATCTTGAGCTCACGAAGCTTGAGGTAAGCAAAAGAGTGCACGGACCAAGGTGAGGCTGCTTGGCCTCGTAAATCCGGCCCAGTAGCTGGTCCTCCAAAATTTTCCAGACCAAGCCCAGACGGGACAAGGATGGTAGGCTGCGAGCTAGTCGTTGAAGCCAGCTGGGCCCAGCAGGAGGAAGGAGCACTGCACTCAAGCAGCTGCCCTAATTAAGCGAGGTTCTCCCGCCCGCACAATCCACCCCGTCCACGCCGACCGGCAGCCCGCTCAAACATATCGCAATTGATCGTGAACTTTTTTCCCTTCCCTTTTCAAATCCGACCAGCGACCGACCGACTGACCCCCTCGACTCCAGCCGACAACACCACAAACCACCGTCAAAATGGGCCGTCTTCACTCCAAGGGAAAGGGTATCTCCGCCTCGGCGATTCCCTACAGCCGCAACCCCCCTTCGTGGCTCAAGACCACCCCCGAGCAGGTCGTTGACCAGATCTGCAAGCTGGCCAAGAAGGGCGCTACCCCTTCCCAGATCGGTGTCATCCTCCGTGACTCCCACGGCGTTGCCCAGGTCCGCGTTGTCACCGGTATGTCGAAGTCGAAATCTCCCAAAGTCTCTGCAGGAGAATCACAAAAGAAGGAGAATTCCGCAACTGACTATTTTCGCTCACTACAGGCAACCGTATCCTTCGCATCCTTAAGTCCAGCGGTACGATCCCAGTTATATGAACACACCAAGCGGCGACTTCGATGTCGAAAGATTATCAAAACTGTCCGCGAGGAGCAATCCTCTTTACTGCATTTAATGCGCCTCTGCTTGGTCTAGGCTGACAGAGAGATATGATGAACAGGCCTCGCCCCCGATATCCCTGAGGACCTTTACATGCTCATCAAGAAGGTAAGCCGTTTGCGCCGGAGACGGTCGTCTCTATCTGTTCGGAGGAAAACGCGGGTGAATAGCTAACCAATTGGGTGATACAGGCTGTTGCCGTCCGCAAGCACCTTGAGCGCAACCGCAAGGACAAGGACTCCAAGTTCCGCCTCATTCTCATCGAGTCCCGTATCCACCGTCTCGCCCGCTACTACAAGACCGTCGGTGTCCTCCCCCCTACCTGGAGATACGAGTCCGCCACCGCCTCCACCATCGTCTCTTAAGCGCTCTTTAACCGCTATCACGAACGAATGGATCGGTCGTCGCATGACGCGGTGGATTCTGGTCATGGAGTTGGGGTATTAGGAAAGTGCATTTAGAGCTCTGATGCCAGCTCTCTAGGCCCGGTGGCCGCGCGGGGATTTCTCACGCCGCGGAGGAGGAGTAAAAGTTTCCCTGCATGTCACTCGAAAGAAGTAGACATAAACCAAACAAAAATGAGGAAATTCTTCCAAGGCAACACCAACGTCTATGAGTGTTTAAAGGGCTACTACGAGGAATCAAAAGTTTTATGAACTGGGTATCATTCATATCGTCATGACCTTGAAGCATAATGCCCAAAGTAGCTATTGCAAAGACTTTTCTGCTTCCTAAACGCCTAGCTTCATGCCAACCAAATCAAGAGCCCATTGTCCCAAATGATTATGCCATCCAAGCCTGAATATCGCCTTGTGGTGTGATAGCAAAAGAAAGCTCGCCCAGCAGCTCAGGCAGAAGGCTCGTTTCTACGACGGGACTCCTCGAGAAGGAAGTTGCCCAAGACGTGAAGAGGATTAGCAGGCCTAGAACACAGCGCGATTAGCCTTCGTACCATAGGTTATGACCATAGTAGGAGCAGTCCTTACTGGTTCTTGCTGATAATCTTCATGCCCTCGAGCAGAGCAGCGGTGACGTGGTTGTTGATGTACATGCGGGCATTGTCGCCGTGCTCTACCGCGCGGTTGGGGAAGTTCGTCGCATTGGTGTCGGGATGAACTGAGCCAGCACGAGAGCTAGCCTCACCATTGACATTGCGGTTGGGAGTACCGGTTCGGCCAGGAGCAGGACTGGGGGCGCTCGGGGCGGCCTGCGGGATCGGGACGGGGGACTGTAATATTGGAATTAGCGAAGCCTGAGACGAGCGCATGATATTCTCAAGATCATACTGAAGCAGGTTCGCCAGCATCAGCCATAGGGACGTCGAGACTAGCAGCATCGGCCATCGTGGTAGCAGGCGCAGGAGCAAACGTAGAATCTGCAGGCGCAGTGGCTTCCTGGGTAACAGGCTCTGCCGGGTTGGACATTGTGAAGGATGGAAGATGCGATAAAGACGATTGGTTGATTTTGTGCTATGGCGCAAACTCTCGATTGGAAATAGAGCAGATGTCGAAGGCAAGATTCGTTAACCAGTAAGGATAGGTACTTGCGATTTGTTGGTTATCGGAAGTTGTGAAGTTTGCGACGGCAAAGGCAAGGTGCGCAAAGACGAAGTTTTCAAAGCAACAAGACACACCAAGGCGATGAACGATTGGAGTGAATCGATTGGAGAAAGAACGATCGTTCCGGAGCTCCAATAGTATTTTGAGGTCGAGGAAGTTGTCAATTGACTGCGGGGGAAGTTGCGACAGTCGGGAGGGTCTGATGAGGAAGCTGTGGTTGTGGTGGGCCAGAAGAATCAGAGCTCATTTACGCGGGGTCACCTGATCTCGCGTTCAAAGACGCTTTCCCTCCTACGGCAGCCTGTTTCCTTCGCGTCTCCATTGCACATGACGCCACCAAGGCAAACCCCATTGATGATCTTTACAAACTACGCTGGTTGACCTCATCAAGAGCCGTCTCTCTACGATGTCACTATTGATCAATTCGCACTATGGACGCCTTCGTACAGCGGCTCCCACGCCCGAGATCACAGCCTTCTTCAAGATCTCCAACGAGACCCTCGCCGCTCGGTGAGAGGCCCGCAAAGAAGGCCAAGGTCGAAATTCAGGACAGCGATTGTGACGATGATGGCAATATCAAGTCTGAAACCGATGAGGCTGATACCTCAGGCCTGACAGTCAATGATGTATCTGACGCAGACGACGTCAAGCACCACACACGGCAGACTGACATCGAGAGCACTTTGCCACCCATCCAGTTAGACAAAGAGGCGATCGAGGAATATGAATTGATGAGGAGCTCTCAAGTCAGCGCCCCTGAAGACGAAACAGCCGTCGTGCCTGAACGAAAGTGGGTAAGGGGCAAGAGCTCCATCTACGTGGATGCGTTCAACCTCGCCTTGGATACTGTCTTGGCAGATGAATCCCATTTGTTTGACGCCAAGGAGTGTAACGTATTCGAGCAATGGAAATCGTTGGGCTACGAGGCCCAGTACCTGTGAGTTTGTCCTAATTCCATCGCATTGCTCTCCTGGACTGATGGCTTGCGTAGATATGTGCGCTTGTTCTTGCGCAAGACTTCCGCTTGGCACCGTCAAGACCGGCTGGGATACTACAGTGATGTTTCGGATCCTGAAGCTGCCATTGCGTCTCTGCAGAAAGTCAGGGATCTTCCCGAGCCTGATGCTCCCGCATGTAGCAATCCTGTCGAAGGCATTGACCTGGAAGAGTTTAGTTTAGACGGCACTTTCACATTTGCCGATGCTTCTGAGGAACACATCACGACCATCGAAGAGGCGTCTTCATTGCTAAGCCTAGACGAACTAAAGGATCTTGCTAAAGAGGCCAAATTCCAGGGACGTAACAAAGCCGACTTGGTGAAAGCGCTGTGCCGAACAGGCTATCAGCAGACCGGGCTCTTTGCTCATGGGCTACAACGGTCTGGCAGCGGCGAGTCCCAGACTGCTCGAGGCCTGATGCGAGATCGCCACGATACTCCACCGCTTCTCAGCAGGCAAGACTCGAACCAGACGCAACACTTTCTAGAAAAGATCAGGATCATCACAGGCCCTTGCATCAGGCTATCGCCACTGACATATAAACTCTTCGAGAGGGTGCACCTGGTCTTCTACCGGTCGACAGAATGGACTGAGAAGTCTCTGACGGCCATTATTCTTGCTAGCATCGCACGCCGGAATTACCCAGAGTACATTGTCTGCCGAAGTACGAACATTTTTGCTTCTCGAAGACATGTTCTCGAGTTTGAGTCAGCAGTTCGTGTCGAAGCCGAGGTCGATCAGATCCTGGAGTTCAATGGCTCGCCGGGTGAGGCAGGTCTTCGCAAGGTTGTGGATGTCTTTGATCGTGTCTACCCTCGGTGGAAAACACTTTTAACAGAAGAGCAAGACAAGGAAAAGCGATTATACGAAGAAGGTGAAGGCGCCTACTTGAGAAGGTTCACCCCTGTTCATTCCTACACGCGCATTGTCCACAAGGCAGCATATGTGTTTGGGAAGTTAAAGGATTACGAACGCGAACACTCTATTCTCACTGAACTTCTCTACCAGCACCTGTTCCATCCTGCTAGGCGAGGCAGTTGGTATCAACGAAAGGCTCTCTTAGAGGAACACTACATGTATGCACTAGATGCCAACGCAGTGTCTCCCGATCCCGATATTCAGAAGAAGCATTGGAAACGAATTGCAGCGACGACTTGCGAGACAGCGCTAGAGGACAATGAGTGCCATCTGATCTACCATTACGATTTGCAGAAGCGTCTGCTCAAGCTCGAGAAACAGCTCCGCATCCCACGACGACTTCAGCACGACTTTGGCCACGTTCGTCTCCAAAAGCCACTAGAGCATACTGTTGAGGGCATCCAGGTGATCAAAGAAGACCGCCAAGGCAGAAATGGCCGACAAGCAAGTACGAAGACGATTTGGGTTGATGAACTAGAGGAAGGTGGCGAATGCAGCGTCGAAGAGATGTGCCTGAGTTGGTACCGAAGCAAGGGCTATAAAGGATACCACGCCGAGGGAGGCATCGTTCGCACACTTTTCGCCTATCTTTTCTACGACATTCTGTTCCTCTACATTCCAAATGTATTTCAGACAGCTTATCAGACTTGCCCCTTGGACCTCCATACGGATTCGTTCTATCCGACGCGGCTGTCCGAGATTAATCACCGACTAGTCGAGATAGGCAACGGCGGTGCGGAAATCATCATCCGCGAGGTCGATGCCAGAGAGCGCGAACGACGAACTTGTGTTATTGGCCTCAATTGGGACTACGACGTTGAGGATCTTGTGGAGCTGGTCGGGTGCTTCGATGGTAGCGCACTGGCCGCTCTCTGCAAGGTGATGGCACAGGAGTACCGACAGCGGGGCGGAGGTCTGCCCGACTTGATCCTCTGGCGGACGGAGCCGAAAAAGGAATGTATGTTCGCCGAGGTCAAAAGCGCCAATGACCGTCTCAGTGACACTCAGAGACTATGGATCCACGTTCTCACGGGTGCAGGTGTGAAGGTTGTCCTTTGTAACGCCGTGGCCAAGGAAGTCAAAACTGTTGACTGAAGACGCCTTCGGAGTTCTCGAGGATCCCTCCATGTCGAAAGATATTTTGATTCGCTCTTATGGGTATCCTTCCAGGATATGGCGTGGTGTTACAGGGAGTGGAGATTGCTCTGAAAGCTCAGCGCTTCCCGAACCCGGGACATATGGCAATATCTTCGACCACGCTGGGTGCCAGTCCATGAGCAAAACATGCCAGCTTCGAGGTCAAGATTACTTGAAATTGGATATGGCTCGCGATGCCTGGTTCCTATGCGCCGGATCAGCCGAGCTCATCTCAAGGGCGGGGAGCCGAAGTACGACATATGGCGAGGCCAAAAATAGGATTTTGATCTTCAGCGATCCGCAATCACTTTGAACCCATGGAAGCAAAGAACGACGAAAGAAGATTATGAAACGGCCGAGTTGCCACTAATAGCTGCACCTAAGCTGTGTTCTGATCACCGGTCAAGGAACTACAGCACCTCGAACAACCAATCGCTTGTCCATGATTGGTGATTTACAGTCCTGTTTCAATCTGATCATTTGACAAACTGTCGAAAGACTTGGCTCCAGTTTCAGCATTACCAGGGTTTTCAAGTCGTGGCGCCGGGGGGAGGCTAAATCTGGTATCAGAATTCGAGACATCCAGTCAGAGGCGACAACCGGCAGGCAGGGCTCGTTTTGGGTCGGAGATTTTTATGAATCACATGCAGCCAATCACGCAAAATCGTCAAAGGTCGGTACTTTGGTTGACGAGGTTGAACGGAACCCTGCGTTGCACTGGGTCATCGGAGGCCAGACAGGCAATGAAATCTCACATTCTCACCGAGATTGGAAGACGCAGCACCACAGGCACCGTTTCCCAAGGCTTGCAGCAGTCTCGATCTTTGCCCCTCCTCGCGCTACTGATGTCGCATCTTTGGGGGTGGAGGTCGTCACACTCGCGGTTGGTCTGGCGTCTCGTTTACTGCGTGCGTGTGCTAATGTGGTCCAGACATGCGTCCTAAACATGCTGCTAATGTACGGGACGACGACTCCATACGTAGTGCCATTTCATGTCTCTATGATTTATCGACCTTCTTCACCGCCAGATGACAGAAGTCGATAGCAACCAACCAACACGGAATTCACTGTTCCCAGCAACGGAACATTACCGGCATCTTCCCTCGAGAGAACGCAAACCCCCATCCCAATTTTTCCGTCTCTGCTCATTGCTGAACCTCACTGCTGAACCACCCATGCCCATTTTCGAAGCAGAAGGCCAGAAGGTTCCAGCTCTGTGGGAGCAGCTTGACTTGCGACCGAGCTCTATGCGACGAGTGACTCTGCGTCAAGGGTCAAAAAACCAAAAGTCACAGACGCTTCGCCTGGCCCTGCCCACCATGATCCCCACACCAGCACGCCGGCGCTTAAACCTCGACCAATCCGCTGCCTCCCCGCCGACCGTTGGTGATGGTCCTGACGGGAACCGGGACACCGCGGAACCCCTGTCATTCCCGCCCTCAAACCAATCAAGACCCCGGCCATTCTGAGGACAGGCGCTTAGCAAAGTGAGGTGACTGGGGGTCCTCCACGGCTTCGCTCCGTACGCGACCACCCACCCCCATGCAGTGCCCGGGATGCTGGGTCGTACCATGGCCGGATCTGGCAAGGCGCCTCAGGCCGCTTTTGCTGGTCCTTTTCTCGACTTCTTTCTGACTGGACGTTTCGCCTGCTTGGTACTTTTCTTTGGCTTGACGACACGCCCTTGACTGCGTCTGAGCTGTTGCTGTTGACTCTGTCCCTTGGCGGTCTCCGAAACGCAGTGTTCCTTGGATCTCAACCGCGAACCTGCAAGAGATGCCTTCTGGGACAAAAGCCAACTAAAAGAAAGGAAACAAAATCACACAGACGCAACATGCACACCTCGGGGAGTGCATGTGCGTATCTGTATGAGTGTGAGGCAATCATGGACCTCTTCAGCCGTGGTCTATCCCCCAAAAGACGACGAAAAGGTTAAGCGGACCACGGAGGAGGGGAGGGGGCCGTAAGGAACGAATTTGGGAAGACATGGGTGCGCCTTTCTACACTTCAGTCATCACCGCATTGCCCATCACGACTGCAACACCAAGCCACGACTAGCAGCGGAAGGAGGATGATGACGCCCCGGCGCCAGCAACATCAGCAGCGGCGGTGGCAGGAGCAGCATCTATAGTGCTGTAATGTGATGCCCGCTCTCCGGCCGGGACTTGACGCATCACCGCCGAACCATCACCCCCCATTCCAACCCCATCTAGCCTACCTTCTGCCGGGTGGTTGCCCCCCTCCCCTCCGGTTCGATTGCACCGCTTTCCAATGTTTTCCCTCATATTGGATCACTGAAGATCGACGGCTATTACATCGATCCGTCATCGCATCCCCCTGCTTGGCGTGGTTTCCCATCTGATGGGGAGGGGTATACAACTCGGCTGTTCAAGAGAGAGCGTACCAAACCCAAAGTGTGACGGGATTGTATGGGTATGATGAGGTGAAGGGCAGGATAAGGCGGACGGGATGGCATCCCCCATCTCCTCAGCGGAAACCGAGGCGGGGGGAAAGAAGGGTACAGCGGCCAGCCAGCTGAAATTGAAGACAAGCTACGGTCAGATGGTCAATTATGACGCCCAGTCACACGATTGAGAGCAAATATTCGATGAGTGGATCTCCGAGAACGTGGTCACGGCTCTTTACTTGGAATCACCATACGTGGGTTCGACACCATGTCCGCGAGGAACTGGAGCAAGATCTTGGAACAAGATATTTTTACCTCTGAACATCATAAGAAATCTACCCGTTTCCTCGTCGACTCCACCCGGCCGGCCATCGCGGCCTCTTCTCCCCCTCCCCGCTAAAGCGCGGGACCATAACAAACCCACGATGCTGGCGGCCGCTGATGCGGCCGCGCTGCACGAGGATGCCCACGGTGCAACGATAAACAAATAAACACAGATACATACACAATGATTCGTCACAATTGCTCTTGCGGTGCGAGAGTTGTCCTCGAGAGACGCAATTTAGTAAGGTTAAGATATACACAGGATGCTGATATTAGGCTACCTGGCTCGCTGTATAGTAGGTATCTTGCCCACCCCAGGGAGATCTCCTTCATCGTCTTCCAAAAATTCCAAGACGCATTCAACCTTTCTCCCCCATTCAGATAATCAAGTCCGCCCACCCAAATAGTTTCTGGTATCGAACATGAGCATCGTAGAGACGCCAAAGAACTCCGTTTGGCCCGGTCCCAATCGAAGACCGGTAGATGATTCGAAACAAAAGACCAACCATTTCCCTTCTCTCTTTCGCAACATATTCCTTGAGATGAACCGATCAGTGATTTCACCCTCATGTTTGCCTCCATATCATGGTATGCGCCAGCTTGTGTGCGCCAAGTTACTTCCGTTAAGTCATATCGTGGTTAAGTCCCTGCGTGGGAAGAGCCTGCTTCATCACATGTCTTGCTTCTCTTTTTTGTGGCGCTAGGCCTAGGTCGTCAAATGGTACTGCGTTTTTGCTGAAGGTAACGTTGTTGAGGTGATGGTTATGGTGAAGGTAGGTAGGTGGAATAAAAAAGAAGATAGATCGGGATATGTAGTGCCGATGTTGTGTTAGGTTAAAGTGGATGCGTTTGCTTTGGTCCAGTTGTTCATTCCACCTTCCTCCTCTTCCCCTTTGGCGCGGGGTTCATCCTCGGCGTGTAAGTTACTGTCCGCGTGACCACCTCGCGGATGTGACGCACGCTAGTTCTCGAGGGCTTCTTTGAATCATTCAACCTCTTGGCCTTGAGTGCTGCGTCCCAATCGAATACTGAGTGAATCGATCTGGCGCTGAAGGGTGACCGTGCGCTCATTGGTGAGTCCAGGTGAGATACTGCTGGAGAGGGCGGGATCTTGAGGCTCGGAAAAGAATTCGCACCGGTGGGAGGTGCTGACATTGGCAGATGTGTGAATGGGCTTGGCGGGATGGCCGGTGCCGTAGCCGGAGCTTTATGCTCGTGTTCACACTTGCAAGAGATATCGGTCTGCTCGCTGGTGGCGGTGGAAGGCAACGAGTCCGGCGTGGACTCGGGAGTAGTCTCGCCAGAGGTTGATGGCTTGAAAGCAGCCGGTGAGTTGAGAGACATGGCCTTGAGGAAATCCGTGTAGGCGGTTGGCGGGCTAATGGGTGTCTTGATGGGAAGGTCCTTGCAAGACATGGGTCTGGCAGAGAGCGGAGTCGAAGCCGAGAACATATTTTCCGAGGGGAAAGTGCTGGTGACGGGCGTGGCCAGCTGGGCTAACTTGGGTCTGTTGACGGGCATGATGGCTTGAGGCGGAAGGAGACGCGGGAGAAGAGAGAGGTAGTAGCGAATGTGTGCGTGGAGAGAGATGTCCAGTCAACTTAATGACTCTGACGTGGTGAGAGAGGAGGAAGTCAGGCTGCCTACGAGCTGCAGAGACAAGTCGCCTGAGGAGAGAAGGGAGAGAGAAGACCGGTAGTTGCGAGGGTGGGTGGACGTTATATTATTTCGAAGAGAATGCGGTGGGCGCTTGTGTATGTGTGCGGTCGTAGTGTAAGTGAGCCGGAAAGAGGACTGCAGTGCGAGGTCAAGCTCTGACGGCGGCAAGGAGAATGGAAGGTTTTAGGAAGCTGATGTGCTCCCGGAAGTCTGGTCTGGGGTTGCTGGGGGCTTGAACAGGTGGGCAATAACAAGCCAGTGCTATTCGCCAGGAATGGGTTTCGAGTTTGGGCGGGAAGACAAGCAGGCAGACAAAATGTCAGTCTTTCCAGGTCGGCAGGCTGGACAAGGGAGGGGCAGAGTTGTGAGAGGGGTGAAGAAGGGGGCGTCTGGTGATGAGATGCCGCGGACGAGGGGGAGGGGTGGATGGCCTGAAGAGAAACAAACAACAGAGAGGATGTAGAGCCTGCACCAAAAGGCTGCGGTAGCGCGTGAAGGATTCTGTGAGGTGAAGAGGAGTCGTGATGTGTTGGTGACAGCGGATACAGATGGTCCAACGAGAGGAAAGCAGTGGCGCGCGGCGGGAGCGTCGAGGAGAGCGGTTGACACGAACAAGAGCGAGAGCGTGCTGGTGGGGAGGACGGGACAGTAATCGAGAGGAGCGGACGCGGGAGTCGAGAGAGACTGAGGTTGACCGGGGTCTCTCTAAAGCGGCAGGGAAGCAGTGGGTGGATGAGCTGGGATTGGTCGTGGAGCTTCAATAGACGACGGTCTGATTCGTTGCGCGGGCGCGTGTGGTGTGTGGTGTTCACTGCCTTAGTGCGTGCTGAGCCTGCTGCAGGAGACAGCGAAACAGAGAGACTGGACAGAGACGGGAACGGGGCCTGTCAGGGCAGTGAAAGAGCCAAAGCGGACAAGGGGTCGATGAACTGCTGCCGCAGCAATTAATTTGCCTCTATTGGCGTCCCTTCTTTGGACGAACCGGCTCGTTGCACGCCAAAAGAAAGCGGGCAAATTTTGTTCTGGGTTGTGACCTACACAGCGGTTGGCCTTCGTCCCGTGCTTTGCTGCGGTGCCCGAAGCTGCCGTTGGCTGTGATGGAATAAGGTAGACTGGCTTTTTGTTCCGGTTGTTTGCGTCTAAAGACGACAAGCCAATGGGAGTGGCTTGGCTTGAGGAAGCGGTTGGGGTTCGGCGGATGGCTGGGATCACCGTTTGTCCCGTCGCGCGATCGTGGATGCCTCGTGGCCTCTCGCCCGGTAAATGTGATGAATGTGTGATTATTGGATGAGCCTTGGTCCAAGGTATTAGTCGGGTGTCGGGTAGCAAGTCAGCTAAGGCAGGCTCAGGTAGTGGCGTAGTGCAATGACGATGTTGCTTTGTACGGATGTCTCGTCGATTGGGATTGGTTGGCTATCAAAGGTAACCGGCACCTGTAACTCGTAGTCGTCCAGTGAATAGGTATCTAGTATCGTCCCAAAAGCGGAGGCTACAAAGACTCGCAGCACTGGGTGGAGGTGATGCGCCGTGTAAGTGGAGAGAGGGATGCAAAGCCAGCTCAGGCGGTGGATGGTAGGAGAGGCAACAGGGACAGAGACAGAATGCCGTAGAGAAGCAGAGACAAGCGATCGTAAAGCGCGAGTAACTCGAATGCGAAGCTACCTGAGCTAGCAAGAATCAAGAAGGCAGTGACCCGGCGTGGAGAGGCCTCGATTTCTGGTCGGAAAGGCTGATACAGAGGCGTGATTGGTTCTTGGAGGAGGCTCGCGGTGAGGTGTCGTGCAGTTGCGGGCTGTCCGTCGCTGGGTCCAACGGGGCTGCTTATGGGCGCTAGCAGAGAAGCACTGTAGCCAGTCAAAGAGGTGGAATTGCAGTGGGAAGACAAGAGTCGGCCGGGGCAGCCGTCCGGAGGGTGTTCCGCGGTTGAGCTGGCTATTCTTAGTGCTGTGTGTCTATGACTGGTGATTGGACGCTGGCCGAGGGCGCTTTCTCACCTGTAAATCCCCACGTCGTCCACCAGATCTTGCAGATGAGTCTTCTGCCGGGAAGATGTGTCGAGAACCGGTCCCGATAGTGATGAGTGGCGAGGCGGAGCAAGAATCTCGTTGGATGGCCCGGAAGATTCGAGGCTAACAAAGACGGGACACAAGAAAAGACGTCTCGGTCCGATGACGATGAAGCCGGGGTGGGCAAGAGAGGAATCGAGAGGCAAAGACGAGAAACAGACGTCGTCAAGCGTCGTCAGACCTCGTGATGACAGTGGGGCCGAGAGAAGGCGCCGGAGCTGATTGATGCCGCAATGAATACGGACGGGAGTGACAGCTGAACAGGGGAAGCAGGATGCAACCAGTGGATGATGAGTGCACCTGATGATCTGAGATGAGGTGGATGTCAAGGTGAAGATGCCTCGGTCTGTGGTGTGAGGCAAGAGACCTGGACCCGAGAGGAGGACAAGAATTTTGCAATGAGGAAGGAAACAAGGGTGTGAGCCGAGTGTGATTGCCTTGTTGGTTCTGGTGTCGGTGTTGGTTGGTGTTGGAAGGAAGGAAGGAAAGCGCTTGGCTCTCGACTTCTTGATTTGGGGGGTTTTCGAGTGATGAGAAGGGAAAGGGAAGGAAGAGCTGAATGATCACGGGCTTCCTTCTTTTTTTTCAGCATCACTATCGACCGGATTGAGCCACCGTTTTATTCAGCGGGCAGTCCATCCATACGAGTTTCTTGTCTAAGGTACTCGGCCTCACGATCCATCTGTCAAGCGCCTGCCTCCATTCGCGACCTGCTTGACATCGACTTGGTCGCCCAAAGTCAAGACGAAAACAAAAACAAATAATTGAAATTCGTTTTTTGAAGTTCAATTCCTGCTTCACTCCGCGCGCGGCACCGTTCGGCGTCTCGACTCTCGACACTCCCTCGATCGATTTGAGCCTATCTTTCCCTCTCTTCTCAGGCGCTCTCCATCAAAGGACCACCATACGTCCTATTTCCAGCCACATGGCCCAGCAACCAGATCTCGCCAGATCCCAGAGCGCGCGCCATATGAAGCATGCCGGCCATTGGACCTGGCTGCCACCACGCCGTTGGCCGTCAGCGACCCGGAGAATTGCAGACCCATGCACGCAATTTACCCCCAAGCATCAACTGTGAGGAGCGGGTACGTGGCCGGCCATCTCTTCTACCTGCCTCCGATACACTTTGGGGGGGGCTCTGCTCCGGCCCCAGTCCGTACCCGGCTGTCATACAGCGCGCGCCTCCAGTCAGTACAACGTTGGGCCGCGGCCCGGTCGTCGACCCTCACCACCACCGTCTCCGTGTCAAGACATCATGGACCGGGTCACCTCTCCCAACCTCCCAGACCCCGATCCCGTCTGCCATCCTGCTCGCCGACCATTTTGCCCACTTCATCATCTGCCGACTCTAGACTCCCTGTTTGTGGATGGTCTAGATTCATAATTCTGGTGATAAGCGCCAGTCCGTGGCCTGTTCTATTCGCTGGCTCAAAGGAGATCGAATCCTTCGCGCCTGTCTCCTGCAAGCTCCCTGGCATCTCATTTGCCAGATCCACGCCAGCTTGCGCGCCGCAAACTTTTGGAGTCAGTTTTTTATCTCGCCGCCCATGCTCACTATGCAGCCACACAATCTCGTCAACTGCTGCCCTGAGGCACATTCAACTCGTGTTGGTCCACGCAAGCGGTGTGTTGTGTTAGTGCGTCTATGGCGTCTTGCGAATCCTTCCGTTGGGCTTCGATGATAGACGCGACGTGGAGGATCCAAACAAGTTGAATCTTGATCTTGAAAGACCAATTGCTCTCTGAGTTGTCGCTCCTGTATGCCTTGGGTCGTCCATCTCAAGGCCCTCGGCCTGAAGGATCGCGCTTAATATGTTATGCAATCGATCGAAAGAGACTGTGCACTTGCCTTGTAAGACTGCGTAGACGCCCCTGAAGACGACGATCAAGCTCTTCTCTTGCCACGCCCTCGGCGTTGCTAGTAATCCGTTCATTTGCCGCGCGATACTTCAGCATCGAAGATTCCAGACAGCAGAGTCAGAGATTGAATCAGGTTTTCTAGTTCCTTCAAAAGCCAATGATTCCTCTGATATCCTCGAAGGCACGTTGATCAAGGTACGTCCTCGCGCACCAGAGTCTACCTTAGTCGCCATCTCCTACGTCGCGACGCTCATCAAACAGATCAGAGCAGCATTCGCGCCTCAGATGCAATAACAAGCGTCACGGGATTGGCTGGCCTTGTTCCTCGATAGGACGTGATGCCATCGTGAGCCGCTGGCCTGTTTTGCTGGCCGGGACTATTCATATCTAAGTGCTATCTGTGTATGGCATTGAACGGACTCATCAGTATCGCGGAGGATTCCCCTTACCTAGCGAGGCAGCCAGGCTCAAGAGAGAGAGAAAAAAGAGTTCACCTTGGCAGGCCACATTTCTTGGTGCACATGCTGGGAATCGAACTCGAACTCGTAGCCTGTCGTCGAGTAGGCTATGAGCGTGATTTTGTTGACCTTGGGCCATTCCACCACCCAGCCAGTTTATTCTCATAGCGACCTCAGTCGCTCCTGAGACACAAGCGGTGCGAGTAAGCGGTGCGAAAGAGACGTGGCTAGGGACTAGCTACACCCCCGAGCTTGCGACCAAGGTGATTGTAATGCTTCTGGCCGAGATCTTGTGGATTCTACTTTGATTGAGCGCGAGTTCAGTATTTGCTTGGACTTGGGGGCTCTGTTTGATTCATCTTCGTGATGTGTACGCATATATAGACGTCGACCTATATGTCCAAGAGCAATGAACCGAAGCAGCAAGCCACCACAATGTCCCCGTAAATTTCAGTCTCACCGTAAGACATGAGAATCGCCCACGATGGTTAGTTATAAGAATAAATCGCGTGTCAGTTCCGTCACATAAATTTACACTCTTCCCGCCTTCCTTCTTCAACCGCCTGTTGTTACGTGGCAGAATACGCCCCGAAGGGCACCTAGAGCCAGGCAGTATATAGTCTGCGGAGACTAAATCATGCTTCCTAGACTAGATAATAATGAAGACCGAAGATTCCCTCAAAGGCTTTGATCTGCCAGGATCAACAAACTCCGGGCCCATGGTGGTCAACGGAATCTGCTGATTTGGTGCCCTGGTTGAGGAGTGTCTTTCCGTTCCCTACAATGCCTGTTTTATATAAGCGACGAAGTCTGGCACTGGTTATTGGCGAATTACCTCTACCAGACTAAGAGCAGGATAAACCTACCGCAGGACCCCTTGCATTTTGGAACTGGCCAGGGTGCCTTCTGGCCAGTATCGCACGAAAAATGGCCTCTCTTCGTACGCTACCGCCCTAGGGCGTAGACATTAGTCGTTCAGCTCCACTGAGCTCAGTCTATAAGAACGTCCACAAACACGGGCGAGGAATAATCTCACTCATTCTCGCGGACCTTCTTTAATAAAACTTAGGGGGTATGGTCTGATCACGGGATAGGTCTTTCTCCTCAATGCTAAATAAATATGAAGAACCCGGAAGTAGCAGGTTTAGGTATCTACCATCATACCATTTTCTAGCGTCGTTATGAACGGAGGATTAATACACATGTCTTTTGCGCAACGCGAGGCCGAGTGCTAACATTCCCGCTTTCGATACAGTAACGTTATAATTAGGAAATGGTAAAATCTTTATTTAGAACATCCTTAGGCGTTCACATATGTAGTTCAGCACTAGATTATGATAGAGCTAAGGTTCGCATAAGGTTATCGTGAGATGTAAGGCCTCGTCAAACGCTATAATATCTTAGTCATTAAGCTACAAGCTACTTTTGGTATCTTTGTAATATCTTCGTAATCGTAGAATATCTACTTCATCTTGTAAGATAGCTTTCGAGACTGTTCATCGTGGAGACGCCAAAAACACTTTACATCAAAGCAGGTATAATAGGGGCACATAAGCGGCATTGGTATCGATCTCGTTCACCATCCTCGCCACTTTTTTCTTTCTAACCTACTGGAGCCTTTCCATCTTGATCTCGCGGATCAGTATCTCCTTACACTTCACCATTTATTTCCTACAAAACGTCCTCGCCGACGATGCGGAGGTCAAACCCTCCCAACAGCGACTACTATCCCCACCAATGCGTCTTCGTGAGGTGAGATACTTTCCTGGGTGGGATCCATCAACATTGGCCTTGGCATTATACGCGCACAACAGCCCTCCATGCGCCTCCTCGGCGCCGATGCTACGTCAGTAGGCGACGGCCCCTTGAATGGCACCCTTGTGATTTCTCGGCTACGCGTTGTCGCGACTGTGGGCAATGTTCAGAGTGCTGTCGTCTAGTCTACAGGCTGTTGTGAAGCTGGCGGCGTGACGGTAGTCTTCGGTCTTCCATTGGGTGGTGTTGACATTGCGCAACCAGAGGCCGTGTCGGAGCTCACATAGGCGGCGGCTAGTATGCAGAAGCCTGGGTAGATTAGTAATATGGCTCCAAGGAAGCCGTTGTGGAACTGATTAGGTGCATTATATCTTCACTTACAGGATTCAATGATGCGTTGTTGGTGTTATGGGTATGAAGGTGCACCGGTTCTCGTCTGGGGGACGCGAGGCGCAGGCTACAATCTGAGCCGGGGAGGTGTGATTGATATGGAAGGAACGAGGCGCACTTATACCGTGCGTGGGTGAGAGTATTGTTCAACATCCTGGCACAACTGACGATTCCATGCGACCTCCAGGCAGGGCGCATGCTTTACATCCAGGTTGAGGTCGCTCCTACCTCAACCAAGCCCAATCGATCCCTATGGTCGAGCGGTATAACGCCCTGGTCCGTTAGTAACAGAACTTGGTATGAAATCTCGAGAAGTCAACGAATTGAGGGTTTCGTAGGGGCTCAGTTCGATTTACGGACTGAGCACCTGAGCTTTTGATTTTTTTTCCCTTTTAACATGTTCTACTAAATTCAAGTGTCGATAAATTCTTATGTCACTGTGTAGAGTAGCTTATACCGCTCCACGATATTAGTGTATATATTAGCAGGGCATCCTGTAGGCCGAGGTAAAACGTAATGTTCTGCAATAGGTATGCTGTTTCTGTACCTGAGATTGTAGGATAAGGAGGAAGTAGGCGGCCATCCACATCTCTGAAGTGGAAGGAGATAGGTGGTATGGGCCGGGCAAGGAAGTACCGCATACCCAGCCCATGCCACCTTCCATCTGACTAACATTACCTCTCTATCTTGATTGCTTAATACTCTGATATATATAAACTACATGTACTACTCTAGTGTGAACTCACCCAGGTCGTATTAAATCTTCGCTTCAGTTCAAAAGGGAACTTTAGGGGGGGGGGGGGGAGCAAAAACAACAGGAGCCACCGAGGGTTAAAAGCCGGAGTCCAGGAATAGTCCGGATCATCACGTACTAGGCAGCCAAGACTTCACGACCTTCACCCCTCGGCCATTAGATACTTGTTGTTATGATGAGAAGGCAAAAGACCTCCTATGAGGCATACCTTGAGGGTTTGCTAGTGCTCCCCACTCTGGCAGGAGCGACGTCGTGCGGGCTTGTCCGCAGGCCGACCACCCAGAGCCCATTTACTATTACGTGTTCGTTACGAGGTATTATTTCTCCTGGAAGATCATTCGCGTTATGCCTTCCTCGGCTTTGAGATGGAAGGGTACTATATAGGTAAGTTCCGTCTGGCCGTGTTGCTTCACATACTTGGTGATGGCTTTAATAGAATTAAGTCTCTGCTAATTCGCTCTTCGATAGAAGTCTCATCCACCCGTTAACTCGTTCGCAGTCCCTGGCGGCTTAGCATGAGTTCTCAGAGTACTTGGCCAAGGCCTAAAACCACATATGAATCCAACGCCAGAGACGAGTTATAAAAGCAGCACCTCGCAACACTCAGATTTTCCTGTCACATATTCAGAAGGAGATAATTAGAACATGGAGGAGCGTTGAGATGTACCAGTAACGTCTTTTTGTATAATCGAGGCTTTAGGGAGGGGGTCAAGAGCATGTACTTTACTTACATTAGTACGTAGCTCATGAAGAGACACCTGCTTCCAGATCTAGGGCAGTGGAATTGAAGGTGATACTCCACTATTCAATGTCTCAGGCTGCCTACCTAGTAGGACCAGAAGACTCGGGACAGGGTGTTTTCACTGCTTAAGTAGGTACGTCCTGCTGCCAGGTACGTTGGGTAAGGTGGTGATAATGCACTTGGATCCTATCTCGATGCATTGCTTCTGTACCGGGCCACTGCCAATTAGAACGTCTCCAAGCTATTGCGACAAACATTTCCGTCAACCGTGGAAAAATGCCTTCTGGTTATCAACTTTAGCTAATGAAGTGCTTTCCAGGGCAGATGGTAGGCCCTCGTACTCGGGGACAAGCTCGACGTCAAGCTGCTGTCTATGATGGAGTGTATCGTTAAGCCATACAAGATCATTCCGTCTTCATCGTAGGAGTTGACGAGCGAGATCTAGAAAGACGTGCTTACATTCACGTCTATTCTATACAAGTGAGTACCCTCTGGTATAAAAGCGCTCAGGTATTTCGATTTTGACCCAATAAGAAATCAAGCGGGCGTGTCGTCCTGCATCTTCAACCGATACCGGTGACGAGGAGATGGAACAGCGATCAAGAGCTATGCAACCACGCTGCTGTGATACGTGTCAGATCTTACTGAATCAGCTGAATCATATAGACGTAAATAGCACAAAGAACTCCAGGCTAGATCCGTCATGCATCCCAATGCCCCCCTCTTATCCCTGGTGCCCTGCCGCCTGCCTAGGTACTCGACATGTGTATCCTGCCCAACCGTGGTTCATAATGCTCGTTAGAAATCATAGTTGCCGATCACGAATATTATACCCGTAGCTCAACCGCAATCTTATCATCCTTACCCACGACTTCCTCCTCGCCTCCTTTACGTCTGCGACTCAGCTCGCTCTCGGCAATAGACCGGATCAGCTGTATCGCCAATTCGGTACCTCTGGAGACGGACGCCTCGGATGCGTCGGACGGGACGTGGAGGAACGTCACTCTGCGGTGCTTCTGTGCCTTCCACAGATGCGCTAGGCTGGAAAAGTAGATGAAGTCGCAGAGGTAGTGTCCCGCGTCTTCGGATATACGGAGATCGGATCCTTCCTGCGCAAGAGATTAGCACTCGTCTTCCAGTCCCCACCTCACCTCTGGACTGCACCAATTCGTAGTCGTGGACGGAGACTTACCGGGCTATGATCCTTCCACCGCTCCAACACATCAGCCAGATCCAATCCCGTCTCAATCTCAGACGGCATGCCGTACCACACCCAATTCTCGCCCTCCTCCCTTCGCCGATCCTCGTCCTCGAGCTTCTTCCCGTCCACGTCAGGGAAAGCGTAGCCGTCCCGGTGACCGCGGCGCTCAATCGAGTAGAACAGCCGCGGTCCCGCCATGCCGATGTGTACGGTCGCGTCTATGCGCGGATGAACTGCCGGGTCCCATAGCTGGGGTACCAGGCGGCGGACGTTTTGGTAGTTTACGCGAATGGCTTCCGGGTGGACGAGGATGCGGACGGGTGGGAGGGGCCGAGAGGAGGACGAAGTGGAGGGGGAGGTTGAAGAGTGGTGATCTTTTGGGTTCTTGGCGCGGAGGGGCGGGAGGTATGCTGGTAGAGAGTGGGCGATTTCCCAGGAGGGATTTACGGGGTATTGGGCTTTGAAAGGCTGCGATGGAGGGATTGTTAGCTGAGAAGGTACTACTTTCGTGAAATGAGGATGCTTGTTCTCGCGGAGCCATGCGCGTCGTCCGTCGTCGGTTGTGATGCGATGGACAGTAGTTACGGCGTGGCGGGCATGGCGGGGTAGGAAAGGAGGGGCAGTCGGGGAATAGAACGGGAGCCGGGTGGAGATGTAGAAAAACGTACGCCGAAGCCAGTGACGAGCACCGTGAACTCGTCTTGTGAATCAATTTGTGACCCCATCGCGAGATAGACTGAACCTCCGACAAGATGTCGTGGAAGTGAGGATGATGCGAGAAGAAGAAGAAGAAGTACGTTGACGAAACGAAGGTGGCTTCCAGAACAAAACCACGCGATCGCTCAAGACGTGGGGAAGGAGGGGGGAGGTGCGATCCAGTCTCGCGATTGCCTTTTGTACCCTCCACTTTCACGGGCAATCCTAGGTCCCCTCCCCCATTCCTGCCGGGCTCTCCCCCTCCACTGCTCTGATGCGGGTGACATCCGCTCCTGTGCTGGATGCGCTGTGAGAGGGTGGTGGGGTCTCAGCGCTAAGGCACCCGGTGCAGAAGCCGTACAGGGCCCGCGCTCGCCTGCAGCAACCTCAGCAAGGGCGATGCGGGGCACCTTACACCTCACCTGTAGGCGTCTTCCAGTTTCACCGAGGTACGCCTACCTTTTTGGACGACGTGCCAACCACATTAGATGTTTTGACATTCACTTCTGATCCTCATGATGTTCTGACTTCATGCACAGAGTCCCCGAACTCGCCGTGGATATCCACCGGCCACGTCGGCGAATCGAGGGAGATGAAAAACGTGGCATCCTCTCAGGTGCGCGTTCAGGCAACGTGTTGTTGCAACGACGTGTAAGACAAGATTTTGGCTTCGCAAGGCGATCGGGAAAATTCAGCAATGTCATGCCACGAAGAGGACCGCTTGGGGGACAAACATAAATCTTGATTGGCTGACAGCCAGACTGACACAGCTGAAAAAAGGTAACTCAACGGTGAGGAGCTGGGATGGTGGCGTAAACATTGGATGTTGCACAAGTCATGACTGGAGTAGTATTCAGAAACTTCATGATAGCCCGTTGGGCCTGGAATCTAATGCCCATAGCCACTATGATATACTGAAAAGGCCCGTCTTCTGGCGGGCATGTATGGTCGCAATCCTATACTGTAAGCGCTGCACCCTCTGCGGTGCGGGTATCAAGCCAAATATCATCATTTCCAGCCCACGGCTGAACCCCATCATAAGATCCTCGACGAACGTAATCAAAAGAAGCCTCATCTCGAGGCTAATCGCGGCTCGTCAAGAATCTTTAAACCTCCCGTATCATCATATCCCACGCGCTCTTCATCCACAGCCCTTCGCATCTCATCTCGAAGAACTGTCTTCTCGCCCGTGACAGGATTCCATTCCCATCCTTCACGCATCCACATCCATCGGAGACACGCCCGAAGCTCCTTGTCATCGGGTCGCACTCTCATCCACTCGGGTTGGAAATTGGGCGCTACGCCTTTGCCGTTCCAGTCGTCGGCCCGTCCCAAAAGCTCATCCCGACAGAAAATTCGCCAGCTGTCCAAGGCGTATTTGCCTTGCGTGAAATGACCCATTTCCCAGGCATCGTCGGCATCTTCCGTCGTAGGAAGCTCAGTCAAGCATTGCTCAGAATCGCTGTCGGGTCGAAGTGCGCTCGCCTCAATATCTCTCTTGTCGTAATTCTTCACTCTGTAAACAATCCCCCTTGTCGGGGGAGTTTCGAGCCAAACTCGAGCATACCTCTGTATCGCTGCTGTTCGCACAACTGAAAGCCCCAGATGGCGAATCATGCTCATGATGGTCGGTGTCGCCTCTGGATCCGCCAAGGCCTCGGGTGTTGGGAAGCGTTCCTTGACCTTGTAAAACGTTGGGATGGCCAGCGTCCCAGCTGTTTTGACAAGGAAGGTCACTACCACAAGCAGCCAAAACGGCTCGTGAGCAAACTCTTCTTGAATGAGACCAAACTTTGGTGCCGTCAGTCGCGGAAAGGGGACCGTCGATACAAGACCAGCGCCGCGTTTCGACTTAGGAGACTGTTTGGCTGGTGATGGCAGATTGAAGAAGGGAGATGTGACGGCCGTCTTCCGCCTCGGCGATGGGCCGGAAAGACCTAATTCTCCGACTTGATCCGGCTCAAGTCCTCGGGGGACAATAATTCGGACGAGTTCATCGGAGACGGACTGCTGGGCGGGGATGGCCAGGATGGTGCCTCTGCCCGAAGATCCCTGGCTGTCTGCGGGCCGCTGGCTTTTAAATCGCCGGCATCGTCGCCATTCGCTCCGCTAGCCGCACAAGCGGCGTTCTGGGCCTCGCTGATCGATTCCTTCGGAGAATTCCCGGTGGTGTCATTCGGGGCCTCATTCTCAAGAGACTGTTTGCGAGGCGTGATATTAGGTGTGGCAATTCCGTTACGGAGGACTGACGGTGTGTAGGCTCGAGCTTCGTCGGAAGCGAGCGGTGATGGAGATGAAGATGAAGATGGCTGTTCTGGCTGGATGCGTGGCGATTGTTCGGCCGCGGGTGGCGCGAAATAGTGGGATGTGGATGATTTGGATGCGACTTTGCGTCGCTTGACTCGTTGGCTGTTGGGTCGGGCATCCTCATCTTCGATCTCCTCCTCATCGTCCCGTCCGCGCCTGGAGACGCCCTCTCGCTTGATCACTCGCTCTCGTTTGATGACAGCAGGTTGGGGAGCAGCAACGGTGCCTGATCGATGAACCCGCAGAAGCGTGGCTAATTTTTTGATGGACTGGTCAGTCGCTGCCCAACCCTGACGCAGCTTGTCGGCGGCTAGCGTGGCTTCTTTCACCCGCGGGACGAAGGCTAGGAGATCTTGTGCATCGAGAGGGGATCTAGCCGGGCTCTGCTCCTTCAATGAGGCCGCACTCTCGAGCATCAGGTTCCAATCCTCGTATCCGCTGAACAGACCGACGTCGTAGATGGCCAGCTTCTCGTCCCAGGGGGTGCCGGGTGCAGCAAGGACATCAAGCAAGAATGGCTTGTCGATTTCGGGAACGTCGAATCCGACGAAGACGTCGTCTGCTAGTGCATGCGCCATTGCTGATGATGTGGATGGACTGACGCAGACGAATGAACCGGATATTGTGATGTGAGGTTTGTGTGTAGGTGTGAAAGTTTGGGTGAGTGGGCGAGTGGTGTGAGTGATAGATCGAGTGATGGAGTGAGAAGAAATGGGGTTTTTTCGAGGTTGCGAGATGTATTTTGGGAAGGAAGTGAATTGTTCCGGAGAAAGGTCTGAGATAGAGGGCAGTGGACTAAAGTTGAGGAAGAAGCACCTGAGGTTGACTTGAGAGTCCGGGGGCCGACGTCAATGGTGATCTAAAGGGGTTGATTTTCTTCAGTTGCCTTTGAAGTGAGGCCTAGGGACCGTTGAGGACGCCATTTTGTGTGTGCTGCGGGTGGTCAATAGCATTCAACTGCAGCGTCAAAGGACAAAACAATTGATTGCGGCAGGTGCAGGGGAAGAAACACGGCAAGGCAGGTGCGAAGGAGGGGTGCCTATTCCGTCTGTCGTTAAGGAATACCTTTGCAACAGCAACGGCGCTGATGAGGTGAAGTCGGGTCTGTTTTCAGGAGAGCGTTTCTACAACGCAGAACAAAAACCTGCTGGAGGTGTGGTTGTTTAGCCTCATGCGGATCCCCTGGCGTGCCAGGTCCCCTTTTTTTTCCTTTCAGCGTCATAGCCTGGCACCCGGGAGGCTTGGTTGGCTTTGACGCTGAGTCTACTCCGTACCTCAGGTAGGAAAATAGAAACACCAACCGGCCGCTGGCTGAAGGCGAATGGATTGAAACAATTGGGCTGCCGATGAAAGAAAGGGGAGCTCATAAAACGGCGGCATCCGCGTGAAAGCCATGGACTTGAATGCTTGATGACGGTCTTATTGTCTGGATTTATCCAGATCGCTGACCAACAACACCCGACCTCATATACATAGAGTGACATACTACCTTACCTTACCTTAGGTACCTTATCTTAGGTACTATGTGGTAGGTACCTGGGTGCCGTGGTGCTGGGCATAACATGAAGGGGAGTGTTCGTGGCCTGTCATTGCCGCAGAGGGCCTTGGTGATAAACCAGGTCGGCCCAGCTTATTGGAGATCGCCCACCACAATCAGGCACGGATACATGGCTCAGCCAAGACGCCTAGCAATGCTAGCAGCAATTGTCCAAGTTCCAAGTCCCCCTTCTCGAACAGTTGGTTGTCCACAGGGGTGCCTCACCCAGAGCCTCCTCGCTTTCCCCAGATTTTGCGATAGCAGAGATAACCTGGTTGGCAGGCTGTTATCGCATTGATCAAGTTACGCAATCTGGGACCCAGTCTTGTGACTTGTACAAAGGTCCACTCATCGACCTTTTTTGCTGGAGTGACTGGTTTACTTGGAATGGGCGACGGCGATCCTCAGGAACCAGTGCATGGGAATCGTCTGCTCGAGCGTGTTCCATGGTGAGCGTAAATATTCGCATTGATTACAGTAAGTGTATGGCGTGCTCAAGCTCCGGTAGCTTTTCCAAACGGTGCCCAGCGGTGCGGTGTCAAGGTGTCTCCTCGGAGTGGTAGTGGTAGGTACTGGTACCCAAGGTGTTGCTTTGGACGAATCCAACGTCCGTCTCTAAGGTATTTTGACTTCCTGTAAGTTCTCGGGGAATGCAGAGGTGCCTCAAACTGGGCAAGTCCAGTCGAGGCCGGCAACCATTCCCGCTGGAAACGTCAAGACGTTAGCATGCGGCACCTACACCACCAAGCTTGCCAGCATACCAGCAAATGGCATTCCAATCTTTTGAGGTGCCTGGCCACCATCAGCGGAGACATTATCGAGATGGCAAAAGTGCGCGAGTTTTCCTCCAGATTTACTCAATTACCCTAGTGACATCGAGGGTGGCAGTGACATGAGCCAGCCAAAGTCTATCCGGCGAGTGTTGTTTTAGTGAGCGGAGACCGAGATAGGCGTTCGGTGCCCCGGGTGCGCCTTTCGTCTTTCGCACTCTGCGTGTCTGCTCGCCGGGTGCCACGTCTGCGGAAAGCCGAAGCGGGTACGTACCCAGTACCTACGGTGTGCAGTGTGCCGTTCCCCAGCGCAACCTATCTGCGTGCAGGTGTGGCCTGCCGTGCCTGCTGCACTGTCCCAGTACAAAGTGTCTTGGTGCGTCCACTCCTTCCATGACGGGGAACGCATGATGAGTGGTCCACCGCGTGACGGTCTGTGGGGCCAATCATGTCACGTGGACGCATTCGCCCAATCCTTGCCTCCCGCCAGCCGGTCGCCTCATTTACTGCCTACTCCCCATTTTCGCTGTTCCTAAGAACTTCCAGATCCTATCCCAACATCCGTCCATCCCTCATCACACACCCCCCCAGCGCGTCCTTGTCCTTTTCACGAGCGTTCACCAACCCGAATCGAACACTCTCAGCGTCATCCGAGCATCGAGAGATGAGTAGTCGCGGCGGTAAATTAGCCCCAGAAGTCAACCGGTAAGTCCGATTTCTTCCAGTCGCGAATCTGCCTACTTGCTAGGCTGGTATATCTTTGCATCTTTTCCCTGCCTTGGCCGCACACGACTTCCGGCCGCCGGCCAAGGTCACCCCACGGCCCATGCCGACCACCTCCGTCCGGCCTCGCCTACTACCTACCTCGATCCTACTATTCCGTGCTCCGTTCGATTGATATCTACCTACCCTGGTCGGCGTGCTACTTGATGGGAGAGACATGGCTGACTGGTTGTCGTACAGAGCTCTGTTCGTGAAGAACTTGAGGTAAGCCTTACCAATCCTTCGACAATGACCCACGCGACGGCCAGCATCAATGACTGACACCGACATAGCTACAACGTAACTCCAGAGGAGTTGTTCGACCTGTTCGGAAAATTCGGCCCAATTCGGTACGCACCTCCCGTCGATGACAAACACCGCCTTCCTCGACATCATTACTGACCCCTACTACAGACAGGTCCGTCAGGGCATTGCAAGCGGCACCAAGGGTACCGCCTTCGTTGTCTATGAAGACGTAATGGATGCGAAGCAAGCTTGCGACAAGCTAAACGGCTTCAACTTCCAGAACCGATACCTCATCGGTATGTCTTTGTCGATCATCTTCAACAATTGTGGATCCATACTAACTCGGTGACTAGTTCTGTATCACCAGCCAGAGAAGATGCTCAAGTCAAAAGAGGACCTCGAGGCTCGCCAGGCTCGTTTAGCGCAGCTCAAGACACAGCACGGTATCGATTGACAATCCGACGGGTCTGCGGCACGCCTCCAGACACCTACCTCGTCTGCAGGCCCGTCTATTTCTTCATCTAAACGAACCACTTCTCCGGATCAGAAGACGATCCTCAGAAAGGGCAAGCCGACCATCACCGGGCGCGCACCCAGAACCGGTGTACGATTCGCCGACGGAGTGCTCCCCAACTCGCTCCGGGCCCAGACTTGCGCTTGAGGTGGTGGGTCGTTGTAAAACATGACCCGCCAAAAATTTCAAGCCTTGTTCTGGTCGGGGGTTCTTACGGTGCAGAGACGCGCAACTTTTCTTGTTCGCTGGTTTTGGCTTGGCAAACGCCCGAAAACTCACTCAACCTCTCCTGGAGAGTATCACGACCTGATATGAATCTTGTGCGATGGCAGGGGCGATTAGGGGACAGGAAACCGGATTGAGCCGTCCGTGGACGAAGTCAGTCAAACAACTCGACGGTCCTTGGCGGTGTTGTTTTATATCATTTTTTCTTTCCTTTTTGCTGATTTGGGAAACGGAGGGGGGCGTATCACCTTTGCTTGTGGATCACCATCCTTCGACACTCTTCACACTACAAGTTGCTATCAGAGAATGCATGACAACCGAGGCGCCGGCCTCGTGTTCCTCCTCCCCTTGTGTCCTGGCACCAATGGACTACACGAGCTGACTTTCGCTGATGTCGTAGTCAATATCTAGGGTCCTATGTGCGTATGCTTTCTAACGTTGTGACCACCCATTCCATGAGTTGCCCAGCCTCACTGCCGGACATGTCATCATTGGCTGTCAGACACGTTTCAACCACCTGCTTGTACAGCTTTCCGGTCTTGCTACCCAATCCTGGAACCAAGACTGGCAAAATGACCCTATCCCTCCACTTCTCCGCCGAGTAATGCGGCTTGTAGTATGTTTGCAGCACCTTCCACAGCCCAATCTCCAACAGCACTAGGCCCAGGCTGTACACATCATAGCTCTTGCAGTACTGTTTCCTCCCGAGGCCAGTGCCCAGCGAACGCGGATCTCTGTGGAGGTCGAGGATGCTAGGGTTCCGCGGATTGACGCTCATCTCGGCGTCAAAGTCTGGGCGTGAGGCATCGAAACCGGCAAGGTACGGTGATCCGATATCTGGAACGACGGCGGCGGAGACGGTGGTGGCGCGGGTCGCTGCGAGGGAGGCGGCGGAGGGGAAGAAGAGGATGTTTGCGCTGCAGAGGGACTTGTGGAGCCAGTCTAGGGAGTGGAGGGACCAGAGGGCGCAGGCGAGGGTTGATGCGAGGGTTATGCGGTCGTCTAGGTCTGGAGTTTTGAGGTCTGTGGAGGAGATTAGGGTGTGGAGGGTTGAGTGGGATGTTGCTGGTTGTGGCTGTGGTGATTCTGCTGCTGCTGCTGCTGCTGCTCCGGTGTCGGTGGTGGCCTTGGTCTTGGGTTTGGTCTTTGTGGGCAGGGAGTCCGAAGGTAAAGATGGTTGAGCGAGCATGGGACAGCGGTAGACGAGGCCGTAGCGGGCGTTGTTCGTGTCGTCGGTGTAGCCTACGCAGTCTATCGTGTGTAGGTCCGGGTGGTTGGAGGAGGCCGAGTGCATCATGCGGGCGAGGTCGTCGAGGCGGCGGAGGTGGAGGAAGCGCTCGTCGGGCGAGGAGGGGTCGTATTCGACCCATTCTACGAGGACTGGGCCGTGGGTTGTGTGTGTTGCGTGGGTGCGGGTTGTGTTTGTTGTTGCTGTTAGGGAGAGGAGGTTCAGGGAGGATGAGGAGGGTGATGAGGCTTGTTTTGCGGTGGAGGAGTTGCGGCGTTTGGTACCGGCTCCGGGGGTGGGGGATGTTGGTAACGGCGGCGAGAGCAACGGCGTCGTCGTTGGCGGGGACGAGCTGAGATCGAGGTCCGTACGGGGGATGCGGAAGGCGAAGGTCGGGCGGAAGGAGGCCTGGGGTTCGGCGTCGAGGTTGATGCGTAGCTTTTTGAGGTTGGCGGAGGCGGTGAGCTGCGGGTAGGAGTCTGCGGAGGAGGACTCGAGGAGGGCGAGCTGGGCTACGTCGCGGCGGGCCGAGTCGAGGAGGGAGTGGCGCCAGGAGCGGTGGAGGGAGGGGAGGAGGCGGGGCGGGAAGAGTTGTTCTAGGCCGTCGTTGAAGTCTGGTGTTTTGGGTGTTAGTTGGGAATGAGTGTGGTGTGGACAGTGTAGATAGTAGGAGCTCACATTTCAAGTCCGTCAGTAGGTTTGTGAACTTCTCCTTGTCTTTCGTCACACACTGATTAGCGACCTGGAAACATGCACACAACAAGACATTAATAGAGATAAACATACCAGCAATAACCCACTTCGCCCTCCTCGAAATCTCCCTCCTCCAATCCCTCTTCTTCCCCTCCCCTCCCTTCTCACCATCACCATTACTCGTCCCGATCTTCCCCCGCTCACTACCATGCTCCACAAACCCATACCTCTCCCTCAACCTCCCAAAGTCCGTAACGGTAGCGTGCAACTCCCTCATGATCCCCTCCGCCAACCCCGCCATCCGCGGATCGCCCGCCTCGCGACTGAACCCGTTCAGGTGCGCCTCCAGCCGGCCCTCGGCGACGCCCCACCCGCGGCCCCAGACGACGAGGCGCATCTCCTCGATGCGCACTTTGCACAGCAGCCGCTGCGAGTCGGCGTCGAGGTTGGCGGCCGCGGAGAAGTAGCCGTAGGCCTTGACGCAGCCGTCAAAGAGCTGGCCTAGGAAACCTACCACGCCTATTGCTGTGCCTATTGCCTCGGCCATGTTTGCGAGGGAACAGGAAGTTGTTGGAGATTTTCCTCGGGTTTTCCCCCCGTCAGATATTGGGTAATAGTTCTCTGCTTTTTTTCTGGGTGGAGGGGTTGGTTTGTGTCTTTTTTTTTCTTTTGGTGCTAGGTGATCTTGCCTGAGTTTTCGAATGTTAAAGAAAGGACTTAGGGTGTCGTCTCTGAGGTAGGTTATTTCCGAATTCCTGCATACGATTGTTGAAGTCGAAATCGTCGTATTACGTTGAGAATGGGCCAACGATCTCTCAACGTGGGAACACGGAGAGGAGGGGTCAGAGTGAGGTTACACCGCTTTCTACGACGACGGTACGGTATCGAGGTATCCCACGGCGTGGTCCAATCTGGAGCTGAAATGAGCAAAATCCAAGGCAAACCGAGTGAGTCCTAAATTTCAGCTGGACCCATCCAAACCGAGGCTTGACAAACAAAGATTTGGATGGTCATGAAAAACAAATGAGGATAGTTGAAAAGGAACAAGGTAAGCAACGGGAACATATGAAGCCAGTCCCTCGACATCCTGCATACGGGTTCCTAGAGGGGTCGTTGAAGACCTGCATATGATCCACATCAAATCTCACCCAATCGCAAAGAGTCTACCCGAACGGTTGTGTTCCCCTCATTGTTGTAGCCACCCTTTGATGCAAGTCACTTCGACCGAGTAGCCAATTCCAGCCCCCTTCTTCGCCTTAGTGCCGGAGCTTGGCGGACGCCTTCGACCAGGATTAGGGGTCAACAGTCCACAAGTTCTCAAGCTCCAGCTGGTAGACTATTTGACAGACCTTCAGCAAGACATTGAGCAGTAGACACGAGGTGAAAGCGGATGCAGAGACTTGTATGAACTGGAATATATCTTCTCCATTTCCTAAGCGCGCTGCTGAAACTGTCCTTTTCCCACTATTGAATCCTTTCTGTGTCTACCCATCATATATGCGGCGATGGGATCCCGTTGACCCAACGCCCAAAAAAATGCAACTGCAGTGCGGGAACAAGGTTGCAAGCCTTTTGAATGCCGTTCGTAATGCCAAGAAAGCGACTAGATGATATTGGTCGTCTTCTGTCTTTCTTTTCCCCAAAGGTATGAGATCAGCCCTTCCGAAACTGGGCTTTTGTGTTTTTCCTCCTCAGGAGTTCTTCTCCTAGTAGACCTTCTTCTTCTCGTCGATGGAGAACTGTCCAGGTCCAGCGTTGACGAGCAGCAGAAGACCGCCGACAATAGAGAGGATCTGGAAGAAATCGTACTTGGCGAAATCCTTGTGGGGGTGGTGCTCGTGGAGCTACAAATCATTAGCATACACACGTAGGGCATTGGAAGTTGGCGTTTGGAAAAGCTTACAGTCCAGAAGTTGTTCACAAGGATGTTGAAAATGCTGAGAATCAGGACCAGGAGAGTGGCGCTGAACTTAGCCTTGAAACCGACGACAACCATGACGCAGGCAACGAAGCCAACCAGGGAGGTGATGATGCGCCAGACGGACCAGGAGCCGCTGAAGACGAAGCCGACGAAAAGGAAGATGAGCAGGACACGGCCAGCAAGCTGGAAGTACATCTTGCGGTCCTTCTCGTCAAGCTGGGGCAAACCAGCAAAAGCCTTGGTCTTGCGAACCCACGAATCGGAGAGGACCATGAGAAGACCACCAATAACTGACAGGTTGCGAAGGAAGAAGTTAAGGTCGAAGATCAGGCCGTATCCCAGAGCCTGCGTGACGACGACGCCCATAAGGCCGGCGACCGCGTAGTCGGAGTACTTGCGGATAATGACGAGAGTGGAGCATGCGACCATGGCGAGAACGTTAACGATGAGGAACAGGTGGGTGATGCCCGAGGGAACTGTACAAGGTTAGCATATCCAATTATTGGCGCAGATATTGTTAGCATTGCAGACATACTGTGGCGGTAATCGTGAAGGTACAGGAGCTGGTCGCTCCATTGCGTAATGATTCTAAGAGCATCTTCGAGGAAGGTGACGACGATCAGGAAGCGACCAATGGCGGGCAGGTAACTGTCGAGCAAGGTTAGCCAACATGGCTCACGCGATGGCGAGCGATCCGACAGCTCCCTGTCAAGATGCCGAGGTTCCAACTCACGGCTTGATTGGCTCGCTGAGAGTGTCCAACATGTCTTCAATCTTGCTTGTCTGTTGACGGATCATATCCAAGGGGCTGGACTCGGAGCTGTCACCACTGGGACCGCCGAAAGAGGCGGAGGGGCCACCGGCACCCAAGCCGTAGGAAGGGCCTCTCTGTTGAGCCATCGTGGGGAGCGGGAGATCGACGGAGGGAGTGAGGTCGTGGGAGAGGTAGACGTGGCTGTTGCACAAAAAGGTACAGACAGACCAGCTGTTCGATCTGGCGACTTTATTTCTTTCGAGTCGTCGTTGTGGTCGTTGAAAATGACGGAGTTTGCTGGTGGAGAGACGAGGGTCTAAACCGTGAGGCGAAAAAAAAGAGAGGGTTGACCGCAGTTGAGATCCGAGGGCTGGCCTTGACCTTGACGTTTCGGCAAAGGTAATTGGGGGTGGGAGGGTTTGCGACGAAGGAGAAGGACAGAGAGGTAGAGGAAAGGATTGACAAAGGTAGACCGTTGGCGCTCTTGGGAGAAGAGTTGTCGTGGCAGAGCCGTAAGCTGTGGAGGGTCTTTGGTTTGGTGTGTCGAAAAAGAAGGGGAGCGACTTTTGAGTGTCGAAGGGAACGAAATGGAGAAACCGGAGGGCAAGCTGGCCTGAATGGCGTGGATGACTTCAGATTTGGTACAATGTGTCCTTTCGAGCCTCCCGCGATGGCTGCTCAGTGCTCAGAGGTTCGAGGTACCCACTTTTTAGACCAGAGCACCCAGAACGGGTAGGTCGCTGGGATGTACCTGCACCTCATTTCGGTACATGGATATTTGCCGTGCTCGCCCGCTCCCGGGCAGGTACTCAAGAGGGGAAGAAGTACCGGTCACACACATCTCACACACAATTGAGAGCCTCCGTCTCCAGCGGCACCAGCAGTAACCTCCACTATATTTGCACCTTATTAACAGCCACCTCACCTTCAAGCTTCAATGTGCCCGCCCACGAGTTTACGGTTCGAGGTACGTATCCGCAGGCGGTGGACTGCAACCATCCGTTTGAGCCACTGAGGCCTTGCCGCTTGCCCGTTCTAAACTACTGCGTGTGGGCGGTTGGCCCCTGCGCGGCTTTGTCCCTGAATTCGGCACGAACGCCTAATTCTTTTTTTCCCTCTTTTCTCTGAGTACCTGGGTAGCTCCAGCTTCAACCCGCTTTTAGCCTCCGTGTGTTTTACATTGGTTGCGAGCGTGGATTCCGTTCATGGTGAATACGAACCCTCAACTTCCTGCAAAGAGTGAGTGGTGGCTTCATATCTTGATACTGCACGAGACACAATACAGACCGAAGAGCTCTCAGGCAAGGGACTTGAAGGTGGTGAGTTGTCAACTTTTACCTTGCTTGAAGCTCTGAGCTTCCATCACCTGATTGGCAGGCCATCCCTTGCCTCACTTGCGACCTTCCTTTACTGGTTGGTGGCTTCTCGCGGAAAGCTGTTATCAACGATCACAGCTTAGAGCCTTAGGTGCATGTTCTCACCAATTGCCCTCTTCATCTCCATGCCAGTGTCCGTATACTTGTTAATATTCGAACTACAATCGAGCCGGAGGTTCGTCGGATCTTTCGGTTAGAAGAGGGCGCGCATCTTAATGGCATAGTGAGGCGAGTCAGTCAAGCATGAATCTTAAACCACGCCCGGGCTTCGTTTCTCAGCAGAACACATGACCTGGCCAGTTTGCAATTGAGAAATGATGGGCAGAAGATACTGCGAGGTATTTACACGCGGAATGAGATGTTCTGAGAACAAGGCGGACTGAAAGGCACGGGGAACCATCCAAACAGCTCACCCACTTCTGATGGGTGAGTGCCATTCGCACAAAGCCTGCCGAAACTGAACGAAACTGCAAGTCATGAGAACCTCCATCAAAACTCAACCTCCCTCATTCACCGCCGGCTTCCTTCCCCATACAGAATACCTAATTTCAGTCAGCGAATCCCCTCGGAGCTTCAGAGCCGTCAAACTCACACTGAAAAGTACGCGTGAATATTTCGATCGTTGATGTCCTTCCGCACATCGACGAGAAAAACGAGGACCGCCTCTCTCGACCACCCGTGGATCCGCGTGAAGGGCGCCATGATGAAGCCCTCCATACCTGCAGTCAAGTTCTCGTTCTGCCAGACGCCGAGCTCCTTGTACTTGTGATGCCGCGGCCAGGAGTTGGTCGGCCACTTGTACCTCTCTAGGACGACGTCGCAGAACCCGATCTCGACCATCATGTCTTTGAGTTCCGGTATGTCCTGATACGGACGACCCAGCTTCCCCATGGCTTCACCTAGGAGTCTCAGGGACTTGGTGAAGGCGAGATCGTCGGTGAGGGTTCCGTCGTCCGAGGTTGGGATTAGGTCCATCTCGTTCAGCTCGAGGTAGCCGCCGGGTGCGAGGTTACTGAAGGCGTTAGTTGACTGGTCTGATCTCCTGACTATACGGACACTGTTCCGCTCACTCGTAACAGTTTTGCAGATATTTCTTCCAGTCTGCGAGACTGGATGTCATTAGACGACTATGAATATAGTCGAACGGCCTCGAAAACGTCCATGGTTCTTCGATATCGTCAATCTCGAACTTCACATTCGGGGGTACGCTGAGATGGTCAATTCATAATCACAGCTTCACCTAACGGCGTAGATCAGGGAACACTCACAACTCCGGTTGAGCAGCTGAAAGATCGATGCCCAGAACCTGGAATGCGTCAGTTGGTGTTTTGATCAAAGACTGTTTTGGGCTTACTTCAGCTTCCGGGTGTTCATCGCCAAACTCGATAGCCCACAATCCGGTTCCAGTACCGACGTCCAGAACTCGATTGACGGGAAAATCTGGGTCATTTGGCGGTGCGGTACCCAGGCGGTTGTCGAAGGTAAGGAGCCACAGGTTGTGCTGCAAGTCTACCTACGTGAGAAGCCGCTCTGGACGTTTCACAGCGATGAAGACTCACCCAGTCTGTCGTTCTCTCTCTCATCGTTAGGATAGCTATATTCTAGACGTCCGTCAGAAGCCTGTACACTGTAAGGTGTCTCGGTGGAGCAAAGCTCTTACTCCCATCTTTGTACCGATGATATGTCCTGCCGTTCTCCTTCCTATAGTCGAGAATAGAGGCGCTTACACTCGTCGTTGACGATGCGGTACCCTACATTATCGATCATCAGCATGTCTGCCAAATATTTGAGGCAGTGCCAAATCTTCGTACTCCGTAATCCGATGTGGCATCATCGGCAGCCTGCAGATTCTCATATCAGTATATCTACACTGCGAACAACAGGTTGGACTCATCACCTCCTCTGCAGCCAGTACCGCTTCATTCTCGGTATGGTCTTGAGGCGACTGAGGCTGAGCGGGACTCGATGACGCAGGGCTCCTTCTGGGCGAAGGCATGACAACGATTCTGTGAAGGTTTCAGGTTTGCTCTCCGCTCACTCAAGCAGTCTTCATGCCCAGGAATAAAGTTTGATTTATTTAGTAAAGACAGCCAAACCACAACAGAGAAACTCCGTAGCTTTCAAATACCCCTCTTTATTTTCACCTCAAGACTATTCGTATCAATGCGACAGCGAGAAGTCGGTGACCAACAACCCGTAAGCGACAGCGAATCCTTACCCCGGATGCCACTGTCGCAGTGCCCGACTCCATGACTCGAGACCCTGTCCTTGGACGGCCCTACCAATCCGCTCACTGGACGATACGAACCAAGTGGGTTTTCTTCAGACGGATCAGCGAGAATAGATAGATGTTGGTCCTAGATTTACGACCAACTGCCGGTTTACCTCACGTGTCTAAGGTATGCAGACACCAAGGAAGAGAAACTGCTACCGGATTGGCGGTCATTTCATAGGCCGAAGACCTTGCTTTACTTCACGAGAACCCTAGGGTAATGGATACTTTGTTTATTGTAGTAGATATTGATGAAAAAGACCATTTCACCGCCCGGTGTCGGAAGCCACGTCTCACGAAAACTCAAGCCCCGGAGCCGCTCCGCCCTCCGAACGGTATAGTGGATCTCAACCGACCCGGAGCGACGTCTTCCGGCATGCCCGAGTCTAGCCCTGAAGCTCATCAGGATGCACGACATTATCCTCGCGCCGCGCTCCACCGGCCTTGCCATGCGTGACACTCCACATGGGTCTGTAGCTGTGGAACTTGGACGGTTGAGTCGTGTCCTCCGGGTGGTGACCCTTGCCTGCGTGAACCACGACTTTGAGACCCGGGAGGTTCTCCGTCTGGACAACTTCTCCTGGCACCTGTCCCGCAATTTGGTTAGCAACGAGGCACGACCTTGGGCTTTTCGTGGGAGCGCAAGACTTACAGCAACAACAACCCATTTCAAGTGCTGCTCGAGATACTGCTGAACATGATTGGACTCGAGATTCCTTAGATCCGACCACAAGTCATCGCTGCTCACAGCGCGGAACAACAGCTCCAAGGTGATCGGAATCTGCGCCTTGGCCTTGACTCCCCTTTCCTGCTGACTCTGGCAGTTCTGGCAGTCCACCCCGTTCCTGTTGCCAGCAGTCCAGTAATTGGTTGAGAAGGTGTGGATGCTGCCAATGTGACTAGGCGACCCTCTGTATTTGGAAGGCTCGCTGGGAATATCTCCTTTGAGGAAGAAATGGACGGCATAGCTCTTTCCATTCAAGGCGAATCTTGAGGAATAGTAGTCAGCAAATGTCAAAAAGTAATGAGGGGCTGAATAGCATACCGGTCGTACTGGACGTTGATGAGGTAATCATTCGTCCGTCCTTCCAGATTAGGGTTCTTGTTGAGATGCTTTCGAAGACCGCCATACTTCTCGTTGATGGCTTTCTTCAAATCGTCAACGGGGACGTTGAGGTTGTCGTACGTATAGCCGTAGCTCGTGATGTCCTTCACGACGTTCGACGTAACGAGGGTGGCGTTTGTATCAGAATGGAAAGGGTGCAGAGGACCATCTGCTGTCTCATCTTTGGTTGGAGATCCTCCATCAAACCAATGTTCCGGGTTGAGCTTCTGGAAAATGGCCAGTTGCCGGTCAACGTTACAATGGTGCAGCCAGAAGATAGGATCGAATGCGGCAACCGTGAGTACAGACATGTGGCCCATACCTGGGCTAACGTCTGCTCCACCGGTCCAGACGTGAATACAGTTGTGGAGGAACTCGAGAGACGACCAGCCGGTAGCGGGAGGGGGGTTGAGATCATTGTTGGCGTATTCAGTAGTAGCAAAAGTGGCATAGTTTGCGAAGTACCCCGGTGTCAAAAGGCGATGGACCTGATCTTGGAGAGAACCCTTCATATCAGGATCCAATCTCGACCCCTCCACCTTGACCCATTGAGGTGTTTCGAGAGCATTAGCAACGGAGCTGTTGTTCTCGACGCCTAAAGCTTCCTTCGGTGTCGGAGTCTTTTTGTCGGTGATCCCATAACGGCTAGTGCCTGAGCACTCAGAGAACTACACAAAGTCAGCTCGATACTCCAAGGGTGGACTAAATTCTGAAAGGCATCGACTTACTGCATCATCGTTCAAAATTGCCCACTTGCCAAACGCCATGGAATTGCCCATGACAGGTGTAGTCCCCTTGAACTTACTGATGACAGAAGTTGAGAACTTGTACAAAGGGTTCGGTACCGACTGCAGAGCACCTCCTGGAGAAATAATATTGACGTTGGGCTGGGACACGATCTCGGGTACTCCACAGGACTGAATATACTCCTGAGGCGCGGCCCAGTCCCAGTAAGGCATGCGCCAACGCTGAGCCTCCAAGGCCCAGACTTCTCGCACGACCTTGTCCGCAATGGTCGGGAGAATCTGCTCTTGCATGATACCACTGAGCAACTGCTCGAAGAGAGCGAGGTAGGCTCGGTGCCAGGTAGGGAAGATGAGAGATCCATGGGGGCAGTAGAACTCTGGCGTGCCATTGATGGGTATCTTCTGATTCGGGTCGGGAGCTGGGTCGGTGTCCCAAGACTGAGCTGGAAGACCGTGAATTCCAGCTACCTGATAATAAGAGAGCTTATCGTCTGGGTCCATAGCCTGAAAGATGTTCATGGCCTGGATGAACAGTGACACCTTAATGGCGTTTTCAGTGTTGTTGCGCCAGGCCGTGATCTCCTCCCGCTGAGGAATTGGCCCGCCAGTTGGCACAGGGAGACCCTTGATGGGATACGTTCCGGATGCCATGATGGTTGAGATTCATCTGAGAGCTGTCTTGACGTCTTGATTCGAAGGCAAAATTTGAAGAAGAAGAATAAGATGTCGATGTTTGATGCTCAAGACGTATGATACCGGGTGAGAAAGGCGAATTTATAACCTCGCTCTGGACTCGAGTACTGTCGAGGATCAATGTTGCTCGTTACCCCTCACGATGTTGCATTCGTCATCTGAGATAGTCCTCTTTTGCTGAGGTACAATCATTGTCAACTCACCGCTCCCATGTGCTAGCAAAAGAGACATATCTCGCGGACTCGAACATATGGCATTGGCATTCTTTTGTGGTAAAGACGATAATGCAAGAAGAACGAGATCTTCAGAATAAGGTATCGAATGGCAGGTGACCGCCAGTCAAGTTTACGGCTGAAGTGACGAGGAAAAAGTTGGCCGGCTTTGGAACAGTCAAGAGTCCTAGAAGATGTGGCCTCGAATAGGCGTCGTGAAATGAGAAACGAGTGGCGGCCAGTGGCCATTCCTTGACCCTGCTCTCGGCTATTGAAACTCAGACTCTGACGAACACATACAGCTTTAACTCCTCAACCCTTTCCTCTTCCCTTGATGGCCATCTCTATTGTGGGTGAGCTATGTGTTCTGGCCGTGCAAAGGCGGACGGAGGGATTCGAGACTTGATTGAGCGTGGTTCAACACGATAACGTGACTTCCGTGCGCTTGTCCCAAAGTTGACCTGTGTATCAACAAACTAGAGGAGAGTTTACTCACACTTATCGGGAATTTCAACTGCCGGCCGTAAAGGTGAAGGGGAGGAGGGGTAAAGGGGAATGCAAGTCCCTTTCTGCCAGAGAAGTGAGACTCGTCTCACTTCAGCTCAGCCACTCGTGGAAGAAACGGGCGACGTTCAAGAAATAAGTTCATTCCAGCGTATGGAAGACCTGGGAACCAGCTATTCCTCCAGCTTGAAGCTCTTTTCGGATCCGGGGCGGGCCGTTCTGTCGCATGCGTCGCGTTGCGGGGTACCGGCAGCGGCTGAAGCAAGCCAAGCACTGATGGCGCGCAGACCGCTTCTCGAAGTGAGCTTTAATTGGTGGTAGACAGCATCGACAACTCTATCATATAAGTCTTAGGCATTTCGACCTTTTGACCATTGGTTGTCTGGGCCTAGATGTTCACTGAATGCATGCAGACTGTTGATCGCACTCCTTCGAAGCGGCCGCGAGATTGTGATGAGATCAAGTTCAAGGTCTCCAGCAAAGTCCACGAGATGTTTTTGGGCAGGAGATTGCTCCCCATAGACCTGGCAACTTCACAGCTTAATATAGTTAGAATAAATGGCAGTCTACTATCAAGTAATTGGTACAGTGTCTTTGAGACGGTACGGTGGATATCTTGTATCAATTGGGCGTATCCTTAAGGTTGAACGATGTCGTTCTGATAAGACTATTCATGTTGGGAGCGAGCTTCAATAGCATGCACCAACTCCCGGCACGTGATGTTTCGCTGGCGCAAAGTAACGGAATTCAAATATTCCACTGAGACGCGGCGATGAGGACAACCGCGACCAGTTTTGGCCCTCAGGCTTCAGACTTCAGACCTTCCTTATCACCTTGATGATATTCTCTGTCCAAGGGCAAAGCCCATTGGTGTCTTAAGTACTCCATGGCTTCCGGAGTATTGCATCTTGTAGATTACTCAGGCATGGAAGAAAGAGGTGGCGGTATTCAATTACAATTTATCGACTTTCAGCCGTGTTGTATACCTCTGGGCGTGCTTCTTCCGGACTATATGCCAGGGCTATGAGTTCTCTCCAGGGTGAAGGTCTTTATAAACAATGCGGTGCGAACTCCTGAAAGTCCCAGACGAATGCGTTTGGTCCATGAGAGGGCTCCGACACAATATCTGGCCTTTTTCTAAGAAGGCAGAGAAACGTAAGGTAAGTGGAAACAACTTGTAGCTACTGAGATCATCTGTCACATATTACGTTGGAAAGACCCGAAAGAAGGAAAGTAGTTTGCTAGTTGACCTGGTCTATATCTGAGTTTAACCGACCCAAAACAGCCTCCAAACCAAACACCATGTCTTGGGCCTTCAACAAGCTAAAAGGAAAAAGCAAGGCTTCAAAATGCCACACACAAAATCACGCACCCATCAAGCATCCTTTGCCCCCGCTTACTCTGCAGCCTTAACCGCCGGCGTCAGGTGCACCATCAGTGGCGGCTTATTGTAGAGAAGGTAGACGTCGTGGTCGATCCAGTTCTTACTCTGGGCAGCCAGCTGGAGGTCAAAGTTCCACATGACCTTGGCGAGAATCATCTTCATCTCCGCGTAGGCGAGGTTCATGCCCAGGCAGTTGCGGGGCCCGATGTGGAAGGGCTTGAGGGCCTCGAGGTGGTCGTCGGCGAAGGCCGGGTCTCCGAGCCAGCGCTCCGGGTGGAATTCAAAAGGCTTAGAGAATATCTTTTCGTTGTGGTAGAGGGCCCAATGAGCGACGCCGATTGTGGTCTGGAGGGGAGATGTGGTTGTTAGCTTGGTTGAGGAGGGGAAAGGGGGAGGGAGCTTCCGGGAACGCACATTTCCAGGGATCCATTGTCCAAGAATCTCTTGTCCAGAGGGCGGCGTGATACGCGGCAGAGCGACGGGAACGGGAGGGTAAGACCGCAGAGTCTCCTCGAGGACGGCGTGGAGGTACTCGAGCTTGGCGGTGCTGAGGAGGTCAATCTCATCTTCGTTCTGGAACGAGGTCCTGATCTCCTTTTGCAGCTTAGCCAGCTTGTCCGGGTTGGTGAGAAGGAGGTATGTGCAGCCAGACAGGGCTGTCGCTGTTGTCTCGGAGCCGGCGACGATGAGAACATTTGCGTTCTCGTACATCTCTGGCATGTTCATTGGCTAGAAGATGTCGTGTCAGCTTTCGAGAACCGAACAAGGTGGAATCGCTTGCTCGTCCGTGCCAAGGTATGTATCCAGAGACAATTAATGGAGTATGCACTCACCTGAGCTCCCTTCTTCAGCATGGTTTCCGCAAAGTCAGGCCGCGATGTGCCGAGAGATACTCTCTGGTCGACCTTTTCACGGACGAACAACCTGTGAGACATGCCTTTCTTCATGACTTCCTTGGGGATAAAGGCCTTGAGGATAGGTTCAAGGACCTTGAAGCCCCTGGCAATGTTGACATAACAAATCATCTTGATGTTGGTGAAAATCAGCTTGACCCAGGGGTGGTAGTCAGACTTGTCAAGGCATCCGAAAGACTGTCCAAAAGCGAGATCACCAATAATGTCAAAGGTGGTGTAGTTGTACCACGCCACGACATCAACAGGGCCCTTGCTGCAGATACCGTGGAGTCGCTCGATCAGGAGGTCAATGTAGCTCTTGATGATAGGCTGCTGCTCCTGCATGCTCTTGGCGGAGAAGCCGTTCGACAGGATGCGGCGGTAGCGGGAGTGGTCCTCGCGGTTGGCCGAGATGATGTCCATGTGGTTCTTGTCGGTGAAGTCCGGGTCTTTGGCGTTTTCTTCGGTCTTGCCCTTGCGGTGGCCCATAATCTCCTTCATCGCGTCTGGGTGCTGGAAGGAGAGCTCGTTAGGCGAGACGCGGATGATCTCGGCGTCGTAGTACTGATGGAGAGCGAGAATCTCCTTGTGCGTCTGGCCGCGGGCGCCCATCAATGCGTAGGGGATACGGGTAGCGGCCCATAATTTGGGGCCTGGGTATTTGCAGAGAGGGTGGAATGTTACGTTGTAGATGATTTGAAGGAGGAGGCCGATGACAACCTGAGACTGTTAGGAACCTGCTCAACTCTGTGGTGGTAGAGGAAAAGATAGGCTATGAGATTAGCATGCTCAGGGATATGTCGACTTACGAGTGAGATTACTACTAGAGGCCATAGGATAAGAGGCGAGAGCCTGGAGCTCCCGGGTTGAATATCTGACAGCATCTTGGGTGCGCTGTTTCTATGTTGTGTGTCTAGAAGAGAAGAGACGTCGGCACGCAACCTGCCGAGAACGAATCGGTTTTCGCCGCTGCTTTTTATGGGAGATTTCTGCAAGAATAGTAGTAGAGTATGGTGATAGAGTCTTCTCAAGGTCTCAAACGCGGAGGGCAGTGGGGATTCTTATATGCCACTCGGACCGTCTTCATCGATATGGACTCCAAAGTATGGGAGTACGACATGACAGTATGGCCCTCAAATCCCTACAGATTACAACGTCACAATGTTTACTATACACTTACCGGTCATTGGCAGTGCATGGTATCCGCAGGCCAGGCCATTGGCAGGCAAAACTTCAAACAAGGCGCAGGTTCTTTCTTTTTCCCCCTTCCCCCTCCCTCCCCACGCGGAGCCGTCAAGAGACCGTCTTGCATAATGCAACGAGACGCTCAATGTACAATGGTGAATGGGCAACCTCCGCGCCTGTCAGTACGCGAGAGGGCCATCTTCGCTACGCACTCACACGAATGCGAGGCAGGCTAATATCAGCGCCAGCGACCACGGCCCGCCGCGCGTCATAGTTCCCCGGCATGGGTGATCGACTAGTGCCCATCTACAATCTACCACTAGGAAGCCAACCTTACTCGTCGGAACTTATTATTCGTCCACTCTTTTTGAGGACGAGAAGAGGCTTGGAAGGCCATGTCGTTCCCGCCAGGGAACCTGTCGGCAGTCGACGTGTTGCAGGGAGGGGCGGGTGAGAAACGGGTATGCCTGATCCTTCCCGCATCGTGTTACTGTTGCCCCCCATGGTTTTACGATGAGTGTCATGACAAGTCGTCTCTTTCTGAAGAGGGCAGTTCGGCTCCGAGACTCGTAAACTCTATGACACTGACAATTCTGGGGCACTGGGGCTCAAGTTGAGTTACTGGAGTCAATGGTCTGTGGGCCACCAAGTTCATCTTGGCACGGGGATCTGGACCGGCAGCGTTTGCCGGGGTATGAAGTCAGTCTAAGATGTTAGTCGACCGTCCAAGAACTTTTCGAGGCACTGACAGGTTTTTTTTACTCCTGACAAGTTGACATA